CAACAGGTAATAACTTGACTTCTAGTTGATCATTTGGAAAAGTGGCAGAAGGTCGATTTTTCTGATGAATCATCTGTTGAACTGCATCCCAATCATCACAAATACTGCAGAAGACGTATTGAAACCTGCAAGGACCCAAGATTCTCACAGAAATAAGTCATGTTTGGTGAAGGAAGAATCATGGTTTGGGGTTACATTCAGTATGGGGGTGTGTGCGTGATCTGTAGAGTGAATGGCGACATCAACTGCCTGAGGTATCAAGACATTTGTGCTGCCTAATACATTATGAGCCTCAGGAGAGGAGAGCGCTTTTTCCCATACTTCAGCCTCCACATCAAAGTTCCTGAAAGCAAGGGTCAAGGAGCTCTTGGACTGGCCAGCCCAGTCACCAGACATAGACATTATTGAGCATGTCTGGGGTAAGATGAAGGAGAAGGCATTGAAGATGAATCTAAATAATCTTGATGAACTCTGGGAGTCCTGGAAAAACGCTTTCTTTGCCATTTCAGATGACTTTATTAATCAGTGACTTGAGTCATTGCAGAGATGTATGGATGCAGTTGTCAATATCAATTCTTTGTTCACTGCACCATGACTTTACATTCGATACAGTACATTATTTATGTTAAGTGACAAAACTTTTGTCTAAGCAAAGTCAGACCTTACTGTCCTAATTAAATAATTAAAAATTAAGACATGATTGAGGCAAGCGTAATTTAGAGGCCTTTGCCGTTGATATAAGCCACTTCTGACACTACATAATCAACTAGAAGTCAAGTTATTATTTTTTGTTCCTAAAACTTGAATAGGCCACAAGACTTTTGTCAGGTAGTGTAATAACCTTAATAATAATAATAATAATAATAACCATAAAAGTGCTTAAATTCCAAGCAGACTTAAAGAAATAACTGTGAAAATAACTTAGACAGCAAACAACATTTTGCACAATACTTGTAATAATAATAAGCCTTCAACTGTAAATATTGAGCTCATGAGGAATTATTCCTAAGATAAATTAATTGTTCTTGATGTTTACCTGTGAATGTTTTCTTGAGTTGATGAAATCACACCCAGGTTGGCGACAGACACCACTTTTCTGCTCACTGATTGGCTGGAGATGTTTTCCGGTGACATGGTGATTGTTGCCGACGACTCATTCATGCCCAACAGTTTACCTAAGCACAGGAAACAACATTAATCTTAGACTTAGTAGTTTTAGACAGTAAACTTTAGTAATTTAGCCTTTACATAAACAGTATTCATACTATTTCAGCTGGCAGTCAGCTCTCTGCTACTCTCACACGGTCTGTACCGGAGATGGGAGACCACATGGGAAAACTAGGTTGCTGCCAGAAGTGATGTAAGTGAGACCAGCAGTTGGCGCCCAACCTGCGGTCTGTGTGGGTCCTAATGCCCCAGTACAGTGATGTGGACTCTATTCTGCTTAGTGAGCGCTGTCTTTCGGAAGAGACGTTAAACCGAGGTCCTGACCCTCTGTGGTCGTTAAAAATCCCAGGACGTCCTTTGAAGAGTAGGTTAGGGGTTTAAACCCAGCATCCTGGCTAAATTTGCCCATTGGCCTCTGTCTATCATGGCCTCCTAACCATCCTCATATCATAATTGGCTTCATCACTCTGTCTCTGCACCAATCAGCTGGTGTGTGGTGTGTGTTCTGGCGCAATACAGCCGTCATCCAGGTGGATGCTGCACACTGGTGGTGGATGGGGAGATTCCCATCAATGTGTAAAGTGCCAGAAAAGCACTTTATAAATGTAAGGAATAATTAATTATTAATGTTATTTTATATTTCAGTACTATTTTGAAAGATTTCGATCAATTTAATTCACCCATTCTGCCATCATTTACTTAACACTCACTTGTTGAAAACCTATTTAAGTTTTTCTTACTTCTGTTAACCACAATATAATATATTTCTTACTATGGAAGTCAATGAGGACCAAAACAACCAGCATTCTTCAAAATATCTTCTTTTATGTTCAAGAAGAAAGACATTCGTAAAGGTTTAACGCCACATGAGGGAGAGTAAATGATGAGGCAGTTTTTATTTTGGGGAGAATTAAAAAAAATAAACATTTTAATTAACAATATATACAGTTGAAATCACAGTTTGTCATTGCTCAGACTAGATATACAGATGAAGTCAGAATTATAAGCACCCTTTTGAATTTTTTTTATTTCCTAAATGATGTTTAACAGAGCAAAGAAATTTTCATAGTATGTCTGATGATTTTTTCTTCTGGGGAAAATTTGATTTGTTTTATTTCGGCTAGAATAAAAGCAGTTTTAAATTTTTTAAATACCATTTTTAGGTCAATATCATTAGCCGCTTTAAGCTATATATACATATTATATATATATATATATATATATATATATATATATATATATATATATATATATATATATATATATATATATATATATATATATATATATATATATATATATATATATATATATATATATATATATATATATA